AAGGGGATTTTCTCTAAGGGGTTGAAAAGAGAACCTCCCAAGGAACTTCGCAACACATTCCCCATTCACCACCCCAAATCGCTTCCTGTCATCATTCTGCGGGCAATTATTCACAAACATGATGACAATAAACATAGCAACATTGACCACCACTATACAAGACACAAGCCACGATGTCCACTGCTTCTCCGAGGTATCCGCATGATATGCTGATGAATCGTATCTTGCTTGAAGACTTGTACTGTTTCCGGGCTTCGCTGCTCTCTCTAGATCTCTATTACGCGTCGTCATCAATTTCACTTTCTTGAGTCTACCCAAACGACCCTTCCGTGTATATATTCCTAATTATATAGCGTGCGCTTGTGTATGTCGAAGATAACGAAGCTTGGAAGCTCAGAAGGCGCAAGGAAAGCGAGAATGGCAAATTTGGGAGTTTCGGTAGGTAAGATCAGTGTGATTGTTGCTGGATATCCGGTTCAGGGAGGCGGTAGAAACGCCCAAAATATTTTCTCACTTCTATTAGGCCAACTTGTAATTGTAATAAGATTTTCACTTGGTATCATTTTCTTGGACAAAATTAGAATAGATTTTGAATCTGAATAAAAAAGAAATCAAGTATATGAACTTACATACATAGTTATCCCATGAAAATATATGTGCCAGTTCCATTTTAGCTTGTTTTACTTGTCTGAGTGTTTCAAAATAAATACTGTCTACTATGTTTTTGTTTTGGTAAGAAATATACGTTCAATATCATTTCACGTTATTCTACTAAAATCTCTAACACAACTTTTACTTTTCTATCATTTTATTAATAATTGTGTCAAACAAAAAGAAGACATCCAATAAGAATTGTTGTATTAATTTAAGATATTAGTAAACATATCATCATTTTAAGAATATGTTTTGCCAAACACATGGATTATATTAGTACTTTTATTGAGACGGATGATTATGATGTTTAATTTTAGACAAGAATTAACTTTGGCATTTTTATAGAGACATGCAATATTTTTTCTCTCAAAAGTTTTACTTTTGTTAATATTGTAGGGTCGGCCGGTTGGTGGAGGGGAAGCTATTTCATCAATGATATATTAGTAATATAACTTATGTATCCAAGATCCAACTCAATTAAGCATTGGAGCTTCAATAGTAATACAATAAACTGATAATTCTTATCTTGCAAAGATGGATAATGGTTGTTGTGATGAGAAGTTAAGTGAACACCAATTAATGTAAGAGGACAACAATTTAAAAATTATTACTCCAAATTTTATCTTTGAAGAAGAAATGAAGAATGAAGATTTTATTTTAAAGAAAGGAATATAGGAACAACATGTTCTTTCATTAAAATCACCAAGTCCACCAATTTTTTTAAAGTGACATATATGCATATGTGTTTTCTTAACAACTATTTATTTCTAAAGGTGTTTTATAATGGAGGACCACACTACATATATGAATGATGGTGAAAATGTCACACATGATATAGGACTACACAGTGGAGTCTTATATGATTCCTTAAAATTCCCTAACTAGTTCATATTTATGTTTCACATAATGTATATTTCTCAAATCGGAAGTTCTCATTTCTCTCATGAGATGTTGATATATCTATCTATCTATCCATCCATCCATCCATCCATCCATCCACCCACCCACCCACCATCCCATCCATCCATAACGGAGCCCAGATGAATATCACAATTTGAGGGTTTAGGATTTATAATTTAGGGTTTAGGGTTGTTTATCGGGCCTATAGTAGTGGTCTGAACCATATTTTCCTATACACACTCTCCTTGGGAGGGTTGTAACCCTAATTGCACATTCAATACATTTGTTTCATCTTTAGTACGTTGTGAAATAATTATTTTGGATGCGAAATACAGGGATATGAAACGTTTACATTGTTCGATACTTTGATTTGATGATTTAATACATACTACCTTTGTCCCACTATAACCTTCGCATTGTAAATTGGCACAACTATTTAGGAAATAACTAAATTAAGATAATTTAAATATATTTTGAGAAATGATTTAGGTAGGTATACAATATAATGAGGTTGTTGATGATAACTGTGATGCTATAGATGCAATATTTTTAATATTTGATAATTACATTGTCATGTAAGTGTTGATTGTTTCCTAAAATATAATTTGGAACTTTTGTATGGGACGTTCGAAAATATAAAGTGAGAACCTGACGAAGGGAGTACTATAAATTATAGAACATTTTTTCTCACATAGACGGAGGTAATACCATATAAGTGAGGTCATAAATACTCTGCATGTTTTTTTATAAAGCAATGCAATATCTTTACATGTGATTTAAAAACAAACTGCATACCTAAGAAAACAAATTATTTTTAGTTTGATCCCCTATATTTTGCATGCAATTATCAATTTATGTGCAAAATTGTAATGTGCGAACTAAAAAAATGAACTCTTAGTTTATCTAAGTACTTTAAAAAAATGGATTCCTAGCGACTATTTATATCATATCCTACTATATACAAAGCGAAGTGGAACACCAGTTACATTTCCTGCCCATTTACCTGGGTCAAAAAATGGGTCGCCTAATACGGGCCTGGTCTGCAAACATGTGTCCACATTTATTGAGGGATTTGCTTTTTTCAATTTTTTTGTGAATATCGAAGTACTAGGACATGTCAAAGATTACAATTTAATGAAAAATGATTTTCAAGCAACAAATTCCGATTCTCAAGCATTATTAAGGTTTAAGTCTTGCACTTTACAACTTCAACGAACAATATCTTGCATATGTGGTCAAAACATTAAGTGCACAAGATTTCTTCAAATGTAAAACATCTTTTATTTTACAGCAACAATAATGGGATAGGTGAATGATTCAAGCTATTATTCACTTGGATATTACTTACTCAATGCAAAGAAGACTAAGACTAGAGTTTGCTATCCCTGATAAATAGGGTCATCTACACATTTGGAAACTACAAAACAACATGGGGAAAAAGATAGAGCATATTGAAGCAAATAGAGTAATGCACTCTCTAATAAAAGATGTGGACCATACTAAGTTCATATGGGTATTGAAGGTTCGGATAGTTCGAGCATATGAGATGCCTCCACAGTCAAAAGGAGGACAATGAATGGAGGTTGTATTTCACGACGAAGAGATAATTTAGCTTCATCTGTTTGTAATGAAGTACTACAACTATGTAGTTATGTTTGTTCACGATGAAGATAACAAGTTGATACTTTTGTTACATTGCATGGTGACCGCATACATGTAGTCATAAAAAGGCCTTTTATGACATTTTACAAATCGAGACCGGTAGAAAACGTTTGTTATGCCATCACAAACTTCTTAGTTTTAGACAACTACTACACATACAAGACGACAACACACCCTTATATTCTGGAGTTTATAAAAAAACAAAAACAACTGAAAGATATCCCGACGGAAACCCTTCCAAATCGTGCCTACAACTTTCACCATTTTGAAATGCTCCAGAGTCTTAGAGTGATAAATGACAAATTGCTTATCGGTATTCCTCAACTATACGTCTAAATACATTTCTATCATTTTGTTTTACCTCTTCAACTAAGATTAGTCTTTCACTTGCAGAGGTTATCAATAAATTTGTTGAAAAAACTTACCCGAGACGCATGTTATCAATGGAAAACCAGAAAGGCTTATAGAGTTGACTCTGGAGGATCCTTATTATGTTTGTGAACTTAAACCCAACTCTCACTTCCATGATTCTATCCATTTTTAATTTTATGTTGAAATGTTATAGAGGTAACCGCATTGGTTGCAATTTGTGGAGTAACTATATCAAGATTTTTACTGATTTTTATGAAAACCACAAGAATGAACATATCTTCATTATCCTTCAAATGAGCAGACCAAAACACATGTAACACCGTCCCCAAGTATATTTACTTTTGTGTAAATTATGTATTGAACCTTGAGGAATGATTAATAATTTACGAGGTTGTAAATTTTTGTTGTTACTCTTGTGTGAATAGTGAAATGCACGTGGGCCCACACTAGGAGCGAGGACCACCCGATATTTACGAGACTACATACATAATATATTCATCTTGGTCTAGAGAATACTTATATGATGATGTATATTCAAGTTGGGCCATTGGAAGGGCATAGAGTTGACCGATTGGTCAAATGAGGCTCAATTATCGGTATTGATAATTTATCAGATAACGGCCAGAAATAAATTACGGGGACTTCTAAATTAAAGCTGGGGAATGTATAATCATTCTAAAGGCCCATAGTGTTTGGGAATATGAGATATATTTTATTTTGCCCGATAAAATAATGGAGCCCAAGACTTGATACTTCCACGTTAAACAGTACTGTGTTCATATATAATTTTTATACATTTATTTATTATTTCGTGTTAGATTAATTTCAATCCAATTTAATCATATTTTGTCTATCAAGAATGTAGAGGTAATTATCTTGTCACTTTCGAAGGCCTGAGTTTTTTAAAATATCACTAAAATGAAATTTAATTACAAAAAAAATGACTAATATATATTATAGTACGGAGTATAATTTTATAGTCACTTTTTTTAGAATAATTTTATAATCACTTAAGTATAAAAATTGAACATAAGTTTCTAATACTAAATTACTATTCTATCATTGTACTTACGAAGATCACGTCTTTGGAATACTATTTATTTTAATGATATATACGTAGTATATGTAATTATTTCTAAAAGTATTGTGTTAAATTTTTTAAACAAATTCTTTGTACTAATCCGGCTATTCAACCCAATTTGCACCCCAACTGCACCCTTAATCACTATCGCACACCATAAAATAATGATTCTAAAATTTGGAAAGAAATAGAAGCAAAACGTCTTAAATTTTGTTTCCCATTTTGTTACCATAAAAAGATCACAATAATATAAAAAATGCAAACGAAAAGAAAGGAAGAACTGAACTATCTTCTTTTTTTTAAAAAAAAACCGTCCTTTCAAAAAACGATTACCTTACCAAATTTCTTCCTTCCCTCAACCCGCTTTCTAGCCTCTTTGAGCATCGTTTGGCACTGTATTTTTGTTCTCTATTTTAAAAAGATCGGAAGTATTCTTGAGGAAAGTATAACGCTTACAGTCCAACATCTCACCCAAATTCATTCAACCTAAACCCAGAGTTCTCTCTTTATCTGCCTTCGTCACACATGTCTGGTAAAATGTCCGATACTTTGCTGGCTTTGTAAGAAATTCGAGTACCCTTTTCCTTTTCCTGCTTGCTTGGCCATGCAAGTTCAGAGCACTTTCCATTTTCATTGATCGAGCTCGGTTTTGGGTTAAGACGCGGAGAAAGAGACAGCGCGATGAAGAACAATGAAGATCAAGCGAGGTCCTTGTTTGGGATTTCTTTATCTGATCGACCAATATGGCAGCAATTCCTCATTTGCTCATCTGGGTTCTTCTTCGGTTACCTTGTCAATGGCATTTGCGAGGTCTCTTACTTCTTTGTTCTCTGTAATTTCGCCTTTATATATAGAGTATGTGATTAAGAGATAAACCCCACAATGGCCCAGAGTTGGTGAGAATTATGTGGTGTCATCATTTCGAACAGTATCAGGCCTTATGGCTTTATTACAGTGTTTGATTTTCTTTGGGTTTGCATGTCCTATATATATTTGGATAATCCTACATCCAGATTTAATGGTCCACCCAGATCTACCTCATAATCCAACATCCCAGATAAGTGAATGGACACTTTTTTAAAGGAAAAGAAGCCATCATGATAAGCAAATGAGCATTCTTAAGAAGAGAGTGATCTGAAAAACAAGAAGAAACATGATAATGACAAATTGAAATGTGCATCTTGTAGTGGAAAACGAACAGTTATTGAAATTACAAAAGTCACACGACTCACACCGGGTGTACCCTACACCCAGGACGTTAGTAATATTTTGCAATTTTAGTGATTTCACTTGATATATATAAGGGTTCGTTGTTCATTTTTAAATTTGTTGATGTCATCGCTTGCAATCGAGTAGTCAAATTTATTTTGTTATGAGCTTTTGGTTTTGTCAATTGCAGGAGTATGTGTATAATAGGCTTCAGTTCAGGTATGAGTCAGATACACTTATTTTGTTATAAATTATTTCGTTTTGTTTTTTTCTGTGTTTTGGTTATATAGCTATTTTTTGTTTTCCCAGCTATGGGTGGTATTTTACCTTCATACAAGGCTTTGTGTACTTAGCACTCATACGCTTACAAGGTTTCACCACGAAGCTAATGGTGAACCCCTGGTCAACCTATGTAAAGCTCTCTGCTGTTCTTATGGGTTCTCATGGATTAACAAAGGGTTCCCTTGCTTATCTTAACTATCCAGCACAGATCATTTTCAAATCAACTAAGGTACCTAATTATACCATTTTGATTTCAATATCTGTTTTTTATCGGGAAAACAGAACATCATTTTTTAGTTTTTTGGGAAAGTATAATTCAATTACTGATGCTTCATATATGTACTATGATATTTCTCAGTATTCCTCAAAAATGTTATGGTACTTTCTGATATTCCTTGATTTTTTTGTTTGTCTCTCTAAGATTCTAGAAAATCACAGGAATTTTTATAGAAAATATAAAAAAATATAAGGATACTTTCATCATTTTTTACACTGCCTGTTATATTGAGTGACTGCTGGGAGTATAGAAATATCAGGATATTTTCATCATACTTCAGCTCTTTTATTTTCCTGTTGGCAAATTAATATGCTCTGTTCCATAGTTGGTTAGAAAATCTCTCTCGGTTCCTATTGAATTTGTTGTCATGGGGTATAGGTACTTCCTGTGATGATAATGGGTGCCTTTATTCCTGGATTAAGAAGAAAATACCCTCTCCAAGAATACATCTCTGCATTGCTCCTTGTTGTTGGCCTGATTCTTTTCACTCTAGCAGATGCCAACACTTCTCCTAATTTTAGTATGATCGGCGTCATGATGATTAGTGGTGCTCTAGTGATGGATTCTTTTCTGGGTAATTTGCAAGAAGCTATTTTTACCCTGAATCCTGAAACTACTCAGGTAGTACAATAGTTTTAGAGATGTTCATGTGGTTGTTTAAATGATATCACTAAAAAAGATGTATTTTGACCTTTTTTCATGCTATTCCATATCAGATGGAGATGCTTTTCTGCTCAACTATAGTCGGGGCACCTTTCCTACTCGTGCCCATGATATTAACCGGAGAGGTTTTCAAGGCCTGGAAATCTTGTTATCAGGTAACATAGCAAGTTGTCAAACTAGTTTTATATCCTGAACCTTTGCCCAACATGAACCTTGTTCATTTTGGCTCTGGTTGTAAATCTGGCTTTGTATTTATTTTTCTACAATGTATAACAATAATCTTTGATACAAACTGCAGCACCCTTATGTATACGGCGTCTTGGTTTTTGAAGCAATGGCAACCTTTGTAGGTCAAATTTCTGTCCTATCATTGATAGCTATTTTTGGTGCTGCCACAACTGCAATGGTAAATATATTGATTACCTATCCATAGTTATATTACTTATATACTTGTATGCTAAAACCATTTTGGTCTGCCCCTTAACTTTTACTAATTAAAGACCCATTGAGCAAAATGCTTGTAATTAAATATTTAGGGAATTTTCCCTTCATAATTACTAAATTCCGGTCAAGGAGATTCACACGCTTCTTCGCAATTGCAGGTAACAACTGCAAGAAAGGCAGTTACTTTGCTGTTGTCTTACTTGATATTTACAAAGCCGCTAACAGAGCAACATTGCTCGGGATTGCTGCTTATATGCATGGGAATTCTGTTGAAGCTTTTGCCTGAAACTAAACCTTCAGTTCGACCTATGTCATCTGATGCCCCAAAGAAGCAAATTAAATATCATCTCAAAGAGTTTAAGAGAGTATCAGAAAAAGGAGAAGATGAAATAGAAGAAGACAAGAGGCCTCTAGTCTAAGCTTTGAAGCTCTCTCTAGTTCTGGGTATAAAATGGTTTTTTAAGAATTTGAATTTTGGATTCTAATAAATTCAGTTTCTCCTTGTACAATAACACCGGGCTTGCAATCTTGGGCAATCTTTATTTATTTATTTTTTATTTATTTATTTTGGTATTATCATTGTGCGATATCTTGTGTTTGATTAGTCAAGTAGTGTTTTCCTTAGTTTTTAAAAACCGTTTTCAACGTTTTGCTTAAAAAATAATCCGTACTTAAAGGTGGTATTTCAAGTAGACGCTTATGCCTAAGTTTAGGGATGGACTCAACCGGGCCGGCCCGGCCCGGAACCGGCCCGGCCCGGAACCGGCCCGGCCCGCCACTGTGCAGGCCCGGCCCGGAACCGGGACTGGTGAACCGGTTCGGGCTTTGACCCGGCCCGGGGGGGTTTGGCGGTTCGGGTCCGGTTCATTTATTTGGTGGCCCGGCCCGGCCGGTTCGGGCCCGGGTCGGGCCTAACGGTTAGTTTTTAAAAAAAAAATTTTTTTTTGTTTTTCAGCCAAACAGGCCTTATGGCCGTTGGCTTTCAACCCAAACGGCTCTATAGCCGTTGGGAGCCTTCCAGGGGGTCCCGGGTTGGGGGGGTGGGGGGTGGGGGGGGTGGGGGGTGGGGGTGGGGTACTAAATATCTATAAATACTCCATTTTTTCTATACACTTTACTACACATCTTCTCCAAATATCTCTACTCTCTAAATCTCTAATCTCTATTCTCTACTAATCTTTCCCATCTTCATCTTCTCAATTTCTCAAATTTATTACTACATATATTATATTTATATAATTTATTATCTACTTATATTAATATCTAATTATTATATTATTGTTACTTATATAAGTATATTTATTTACTTATATTCACATATTACATATACTTAATATATACTTATATTAGTTATACATATATTAAAGTACAATATATAAGTGTATTACTCAACTTATAGTAATATACTTATATATTAAAGTATAATATATAAGTGTGTTAGTCATCTTGTAGTAATATTAACATAATATTATCTACTTATTATCTACTTATAAATATATATTTACTACATATATACTTAATATATACTTATATTAGTTATACATATATTAAAGTATAATATATAAGTGTATTACTCAACTTATAGTAATATACTTATATATTAAAGTATAATATATAAGTGTGTTAGTCATCTTGTAGTAATATTAACATAATATTATCTATTTATTATCTACTTATAAATATATATTTACTACATATATAATATTATCTACTTATTAATTTTGTTTACACACTAATACATTCTTCATTAATATAAAAGTTGTTAATTGTTTCACTTATCATTTTAGACTTTTAGTATTAGTTCATTGCTATAAAAGTGGTTAATTGGTAGTTGTTAGTTTATTGGAAATAGTTACATTAAAAATTGTTAGACAAGAATTCGAAATTAATTGTTTACTTGTTAAACTAGTTAATTGTTACATTTCTTAATCTCCTCTAATACTAGTTAATTGTTACATTTATTATTCTCCTATCAAACTAGTTAATTGTTAATTATATTATAGTTGTTCGAAAATTTATCTACTTAATATATTAAGTGTATTCCTCATCTTATAGTCATATATTTATATTATATATACTATAAACATAAAATTATATATTACTAGTTAATCTACTTATTATCTACTTTTAAATATATATATTTACTATATCTACTTATACACTTAATATAAAAGTAGTTAAATTTCTCCTATCAAAATAGTTAATTCATTGTTACATTTATTATTCTCCTCTAAATTTCATTGCATTGTTACATTTAATGTCTAGTTAAAATTTCTCCTATTGAACTAGTTAATTGTTATTTATATTGAAGTTGTTCAAATTTTATAATAAAAGTTAATTTAATTGGTACATTTTAATTGTTACATTCTAGTCAATTTTATTGTTCGAATTTAATTGTTACATTGTAGTTCGATTTGTTAGATTTGTATTTGAAATTCAATAGTTTAATTGTACTTCGAATTTAATATTTGTTATATTTTTAAGATGGAACGTGGTAGAGCTTCAGTAGATATGGGTAACCTCCGCCGCAACCGAACAAAGGAGATTGCGAGGAATCATCCATGCTTGCACAAAGGTAAGGGACGGGCCGGGGATTCATCTCAAACCCGAGATGATTTTGATGCGGATTATAACCAAAGATATGGGTCTGCGATGTCCGATGAGCAAGTAGAACAACTATTACGACAAAATCAAGGGGCCTTCTTCCATCAACAAAACATCCCGACCATTGACGAAGAAGAGCTCGAGGATGATGATGCGGAGGAGAGGGATCCGCAAACGGTCGAGCACGAGGTTCATGGCACACCGTACGATGATGAAGAGCAAGCGGAAGTGGCTACTTCTTCCCAAGGCGGTGAGAAAGCTGAATCAGTCTTTAAGGCAAATTTTACAAAATTTAAAGACCCCCAAACCGAGATATGGTACGCCACTTGCAAGCATTGCCCAAAGAAGTATAACTTGGGAACTTCTGGAGGGTACGGGAGCGCCACAAGGCATCTTAAGGCCAAGCACCCGGCGGAATATGCGAAATCAGACAAAGGCAAGGGAAAGCAAACACAAATTTCAAGATTTGGAAGTGGCCAACCCTTCGGTAATTTCTCCTATGATGATCAAAGACATTTGACTGGTATGTCGCATTTGATTGTTGAAGAAAATTTGCCTTTTATTTTTTCCGAAAGTCTTGCTTTAAAAGAATATGCTCAAGGTACTTTAAATCCTCAATTTCGAAACTATAGTCGCAAAACAATTAAAAAAGAAGTTATAAGGCAATATGTTTTGGAAAAGGAAAAATTACAAATATTTTTCGCAAACTTTGATGGCCGTGTTAGCATATGTAGTGATATATGGGAGGATACTCATCATCATTTATATTATTTGGGTTTGACTGCACATTATATTGATGATGATTGGTGTATGCATAAACGTGTTCTTGCTTTTCGTGAATTTAATGATCGACACACCGGCGATAATATTTATATTCTCATTGAGCGTATTTTAATTGAGTATAATTTGATTGATAAGGTGTTTGCTATTGGTTTTGATAATGCTACTAATAATACTGCGGCTATTCCTAGATTGCGTGAATTGTGTGGTTCATCTTCTTTGATGGGTAGGTTTTTTCATCAGCGTTGTGCATGTCATATTTTAAATTTATGTGTAAAGGACGGTCTAGCGGCGTTGGGAGATGCTTTGGAGGTGGTCAAGGGGGGGATTAAACTGATTTGGGCTAGTAATCCACTTAAGATGCAATGGAGAAATTATTTGAAAGAAAGACGTGTCAAATATTGTGCTTTTCCTAAAGATTTGTCTATTCGTTGGAATAGTACTTATAATTTAATTAAAGTGCTTATTAGATATAAAAACCATTTTCCCGCTTTTTTAAGAGAATATGCTAACTATATTATAAACCCGGCCGATATCGACACTTGTGAAAAAATTGTGAATGTTTTGGTGTTTTTTAATAATGCCACTGAAACTTTTAGTCATGTTTATAAACCTACCGCAAACCAATTTTTTGTTGAAGCTGTTAATCTCGCCGGCGCTTTTTCTGAATTCTCTGACGCCGCTTACGTTAGTTATTTTTGTGACTTCATGAAACAAAAGTTTTTAAAATATTATTCCTATATTCCGCATATATATGGTATTGCATTTATTCTTGATCCTCGTTTTAGACTTGCTTCTTTGGAGAAATGTTTAGATTACTATTATGCTTCTTTTTTTGGTCCATTGCCTATGTACGACGACAAGGCCATAGACCCTAAACAACAATTCCAAGAGGTTAGTAATTTATTATATCAATTATTTAATGAGTTTCATGCACAATATGGTAACGCACCCCCTCCCCCGCCACGAACATCTTCTTCATCTAAAGGAAAATCAATTTTCAAATCTGCATTTGGCAATCTCATGAAAAAAAGTAAATCAACTCCGGTTAATGAACAAAGCTCGATCAACGAGCTTTCTTTGTATCTAACATTTCCTGTTGATTATGAAGAAGGGGATGACTTTGACGTTCTTCAGTGGTGGAAGGAAAAAGAGAGAACGTTCCCGATCTTATCAAAGATGGCTAAGCAAGTGCTAGCAATGCCGGTATCAACAGTTGCTGTGGAACAAGAGTTTAGTGCGGCCGGCAACGTCCTAACGGATTATAGAACGAGATTAAGCGCAAACTCTCTTGAGACGCTTGTTTGCTTCCACGATTGGTTGAAGGCCAAACGTAGAACTCAAGAAATCAGCATTGAACCCACTCGCCACTTTATGGAAGAAACAACTGAAGATGGAGGAAATTCTAATTGATTCATACTTCATTACTTATTATAAAGTGTATTTCATGTTTTTATTTTTGCTCAATGTTCAATTGTACTACAAATATCAAATAAATATGTTTTACCCTTTTTTATGTCCAAGTAATATTAATTTAATTTTGGTATCAAAAAAAAAAAAAAAAATTTAAAGCCCGGGCCCGGCCTGGCCCGGCCCGGACCCGCCCGGGTCGACCCGGCACGAACCGGACCCGGTATCACCCCGGGCCGGTTCCGGGCCCAACAATCCCCAAAAAAAGCCCGCCCGGGCCCGGCCCGGAACCGGAACCGGCCCGGCCCGGGTCCATCCCTACCTAAGTTAATCACTTTAAAGATAAAAGTTGAAGCTGAAAGTTGAAAACAAATGAGAAGAGTTAAAAACCGTTTACCTCTTTTATATTATGCAAAACATACATTTTTACCGAAATTACTTCTTTTAAGGGTGATTGGATCTGATTCTTAAAACTGCTTCTGCTCCCTGAGGGTGCAAAAACAGAAGTTGGAATGTTTGGGTGAAAGTGAAAAAGTGATTCTGGTGCTCTAATTTACTCATAGAATCCATTTTTTTAGAAGTTGGAGGAGACCAATTTCTGAAAACCGATTCTGATTCTGCTTATGCTTAAAAAAAGAAGCAGAAGCAGAATCAGTTCTAACACCCCTAATACCACCCCCTAATACCACTATCTTTTACTTTAAGAACTTATAAATAATCTCTAGATTAATTACTTGTCGAAACTAGAAACATTAAAAAAACACTCCATTCTGTGTTGGTTCTGTGTTGGTATCTCACTTTTCATTTTTTTCAACAAAA